TATAAGAGCATTTTTTTAGTTTGTAGTGCATATTTTGAAGGTTTTTCGAAAATTATGTTTTTCAGTGAATATTTTTCATAATTAAGGACACAAATTATTATATTAAACTGTTTCTATATTCTCATTAAGATGAAAGTGACTCATTTTATCATAGTTGTAAATTAGATTACAATAAAGTTATATCAAATTCAGTTAAAACTTATAAAGAGAGATAATATAAAATTATCAAAATTAAATATTTAAAGGAAGATTATAATTTTTAGAGCTATAAATTTTAGTGTATTAATTTTTTTGATGTACAAGTGCATATTTTTAAATGCATATTTGATGATTTTTTAGTGCATGAAAGTCCTTGCTTTAGTTATAATCAATGATGAGAGGTTAAATCTGATACTTATATAGTTATTTTTATAAAACTGTTGGTGTAAAATAAATCATAAATTATTACATTAAATACTTCAGCATTTGACTTTTATGTTGAACATTTATGATTTGTGACAATAGATTATAATTTATGACTTAAGTGTTATAATAATTTTTTTTTTCAAAACTCTAAACAGTATGAAACAATAACATTAATACTCTTTTAAAACAAAAATATAATAATAATATTTACAAAAATTCTATGTAAGATACTTTTAAACATAATGTTTTGTTCTTTAACACAGAAATACACCTATATTGCCTATATGTTACGCCGTTGTGACACACATAATTTTTTTTTTTTTAAAGCTAGGCGGGATTATCATTTGCAAACACTTACACTAAATTACTAAAACATATTGGAGTAATTATACTGCATTACGTCTTGCCAATGACAGTTTCAGAGTTATATAATCTAAAGAGCTAATACGAGTACACAATATAAATATCTATTAATGGCTAATAAACCAAAAGTTTTACACCCTTTATTACGTCATGATGGTTTTTTAAATCCATTAGATAAATTATTAAAGTCAAATTTATCGTTTTCTCTAATATTATATGTTTTAAAGTTTAAAATTATTATATTTTACTATTTTTTATTCAAGTTCAAATTAGTTTCAAGTAATTTATTCAAATGCACATAATATTTATTATCTCTAAAAGAATATTTACCTCGACGTAAAAAACATATGAATATAAATTACAAAAATCTTGAACCAGTTAGTTTTATCAAAAAAAAATTTAATTTTTACAATTTAATAATAAAACATGATAATATTATATATTAGGTATATTTTATAATATTATCATTTTTTCAAGATGATATTGCTTACTGTGTAACGTATCGATATCGATTAAAAACGTATACAAACTAATTCGATAATATTAAAAATTAACTATATTTACAATGCACTCAAAAATAATACTATTTATCAGTTATAGAGGAATATTTGGGTTAAATGAGCTGTAAACGTCGGTTTTTCAATTCTTGACATTTCTTTATTTGCAAATAAAACAAAAAATATCAATAAATTAGTTTAATATTTTGGATTGGCTATACGTTAAGTCCAGATTTAAATACCGTAAAAGCTATTAAAAAATGTTTCAATAAATAATTAAATGTGCATTTTCAACACTATAATACTCTAAAAAATGACCAATATTTTTTTATAGGCACACAACATCACAAGTGATGGGAAAATTACCGTTTAACTTTCAGAATTTTCATCTTTACTAGACTATAAATAATACTAAAATAAAATACTAAACGTAAGTACTCACAATAAATAAACAGTATACTGAAAATTGAACATCCAATAATGTAAATGGATATGAATAAGACGTTATTGCATTTATACATAGAACGATTAACATTTAATACAGATTTGAATTATCAAAAAATTATTTAAACAAATATTATTAAAACAATTTTTTTTGGTTAAAATATTTTTGATTTTTTAATTCACAATAAAATTTTGTACAATAAAATATTATGCATTACAAATAAATAAAATGACCTGAAAATAATAAAAATTGCATTAAAAATGGATAAGAATCGCATATCTAACCTAGTATCTACTACTTGTTGTTATAGAAAACAAATTATGTATTTTGATACATTTTCCTAAAACACCTAAAAAACAATACACTTTGAATTAAAAACCAACTCCAACTGTTTCTATTGTCATTTTAAATACAACTAAAGAATTTTTCCACAGTAAAAAGGAAATTATTTTTGAATATAAAATAACGATTGTGTAATACAAATTTAATTGTCTACCTATAAAATTTCAAATTAAACGAATAATTTGAAAAACCACTGTAAGAGTATTAAAACATCGACCGAAGTCTTTATTGAAATCGTATTATTCACTAAACTAAATAGGTTATCCTTATCCTTAACAAATAAACACCAAATTTAAAAAAATATTCTACTCATTTGGTTATCAATCTTTGTATCAATTTATTTCTCGAATCTAATTGCTTTTATATCATTTATAACTACTATAATATTGCTATTATAGTATTACTATTATTTGCTTTCAAAATTTTAAAAAATATCGTAAATATATATGTTTAATTATTATAAAAACAATAAAATAAAATCAGTTTTTATACATACTATTATATTTATACTTTTTCTTTATTACAGCCTTAAAATAACCTACTATATTTCTATAAAATTTATTCATATAATACTACAATAATCTATTAACTAATAAATACTTGAACTTTTATTTAATTGTATTATACTACACTAATATTGCGAAAAATTAATCAACACCTACTCGTTATTGTTGTTCAAGTATCTTAAGTAATATTGTAATTTCTAAAATAATTAAATTATAATTTAATATAAGTTTAATAAAACTATTAAAATAATTATAATCACCATCGATGATGTAATTTGTTCAAGTTCATTTTTTTTTTTATATATATGTTACGGTAAATGATGTTAAGTGGAAATTAACGTTATTCACCGGTTATTAACGTTATTTACCAAATATACAGGTAATTATCGTTATAAACTGGATAATCACGTTAATGACCAAATACACAGGTAATTGATGTTATAAATCAGATAAGCGCATGAATCTCAAATACTACAATTTGAAAAATTATGTAAGTACCCAGATATTTTTAAAAATAGAATAAATGCATTATTATTTTTTATTTATTTTTACAAGTTTTACTCCCATGACATTTAATATAACATAATTTTTCAGCCCCAAGGTAAGCACAATGCTTATTATTATTACAACTAGTCTTGCAATGACAACGCTGTACCTTCGAGGGCTCGCAACCGAATTATTACTAGCTACTTCCCTCAGTGTCAACTGTCTACCATCTGCTAATTTTATCACATTGTCCATGTCTAATAGATTTTATTTGCAAACAGCTATTTTTGGCATGTGAAATAATATTTAAGAAAACTATATTCCGTATTTATAAAATAATAAAACAAATTTTAATTTTAATAGTATATTTTTTCATTAAGAATTAACTTACAGAGTTTGTATAAATCATGTTCAACTTGAGTGACAACTAATAGTATATTTTGCATAGAACCAAGAGCTCTATTAACGTTTGGTATAAATACACATACAGTTAAGCCTATTTCAAGCTGAGGAAACTTTTCTTTAGAAAATTTCATCATTTCCTCTCCTTGTTTTTCTAAATTTTTTTTTGAATTTTTACATGCAATACAAATATTTTCTTGACAATCATCAAAAAAATATTTAAAATAATTTTCAAATATTTATATTTTAGTTTTATTTTTGTTATATTTAAAATTCGGAAATTTATCGTTAAATAATTAAAAAATATTTAAGTACCAAGTTCCGAATTTTTTTCTGCGATTTCTATGATTTAATTTCCGATTTTGTCTTCTTTGATGATTGGTTCTTTGGTTATTTTTTTAAATCTTCCGCAATAACCTCTTTTATTTTATAATCAGATCAAAATTTCCCAAATCATACGGCTATTAACGTTATTCACTAGAAAATAACGATAATTCCCACATTCGTAGGTAAATAACGTTAATAACCGGCGAATAACGTTAATTTCTGATATAACATCATTTACCGTAACATATATATATATATAAACTTAGTTTATTCTTCATAACTAGATAAATTATAAAATTAAATATTTTAACTTAAATTTAATAAATATTTTAAGAGTAATAGAGAACCAAATTTATTAAAATCAAAGCCAAATTAAAATAAACAAATAAGAAAAAAGATTAATGTTAGATAAGTACCAAAGTTATAATAATAAAAATCATTATTATAAATAATCTAAGACAACTAAAAACAATAATCATAATATCGTAGTGCAATCAAATTAAAAATTAAAAAATCAAATGTTTAAAAAATTTTTTTACCAAGTTATTATATCTTATTTGAAATAAGTACCTATATTTTTCGGTATTTTTTTTTTTTTTTTTTAAGTTTTTCTAAATTATTTTAAAAAAATAGGGCATTTTTATTTTTTTACTATAAGTATTTCCCTATTAAACATGTCTTCAAAAAACCATTTTAAAACCAAAACCAACACATCCATCATTCAAATCATATTCTAAAATAACTAATTATAACATAAAAGTTATTAATTAGAAACTATTTAGAAACAATGAACAATAATAATGGCCTATTAAAAAAATTACATTAACAAAAACAACAATACTTAAAGGACTTACTTAGAATTTAACTTTTAAATGTTTACATAAATCATCAACATAATTAACAGTCATCACTAGTTTTTCAAAATAAGATAAGTCAGCAACTAATTTAAATGATAAAACAGTAGGTAATTATTAAAAAAAAAAATTCAATTACTAATAAAAGTAGATAAAACAACTGAAAAATAAAAAGATTTAGAGACATCCTGTATAGACTATAGAGTATTTATCACTAAAATACTGGTTTTAAAATCTTCAATTATAATTAGAATGGAAAGATTTGTACAAATGACCTTGCGCGATGACGCTGTTGCTTTGCTTTATTCTGCTAGCCCACTCTGTCGCTCCTATCATGCCAATCATAGTTACGTACAATAGTATGTGTGTAAACACTGCAGCGAACACACCTGTCCTACTTCAAACTTAATGTCTAACGTTTAACATAGGTATAATAAGATTAAAAATGGTTATGCCACACTACTAACATAAAAAAACCAACGAAATTGAAATACTGTTCAGTATAACAATTCAAGTTCAAACGCGTATAACAAACGTTATTCAAACTTTAAATGATGGCTTTAAAATCATATAAATTACACTTACCTTTATTTTTAATATTAATTTACACGTCTGCTGGTTCGTGGATACTTACGCCCGCTGACGGCGCGAGAATATTAGCCGTGGAGACGGTTGGAGGAAGAAGTCACTGGAACTTTATGAACTCAATTCTTCAGGTGTTGGTGGACAATGGACACAATATCACCGTATTCACACCATTTTCCGAAGGTAATCATGAAAACTATACAGAAGTGAACACTTTTAAGGAATCTAAAACACTACTAGACGAACAACTAAAAGAAGTGTTGAATAAATACGGAAATCCGATTAAAGTTATTAATGAAGTATCAGCGATGAGTAGAACAATGTGCAATGTAGTTTATGAAAATAGTAAAATGAAAGAAATATTGACTAATACGCGTTCTGACTTCGACATAGTCCTAATTGAACCATTATTCTCAGAGTGCGTGTCGTACCTTGCCGTTAAGTTGAATTTACCACTCATATACGTCATGCCAATACCAACCATGAATATAATGGAATATAAATTCACGGGACACATGTCCAATCCCGCTGTAGTTTCCGTTAATATAGCAAATTTTGGCCTTCCAAAAACATTTTCCCAGAAAGCAATCAACAGTGCTCTTTTAATTTACTGCACAGTCGTAAACAAATTTAATGAACTATTATTGAAGTTCACCGAACCGCAAGAGTACGATTTGCATGCACCAATCCCGCCATCTTTAATATTTGTAAACAGACATTTCACAATCGAACCGGCAAGTCCAATCCCATCAAACGTCATTGAAATTGGTGGAATACATTTAAAAACGCCCAAGAAGTTACCAAAGGTAAGGGCTATAATTTGTATAACCTGCTGATGATGTTTGGTGAAGTATGTAATTAAAATTTATCCTAATTCCAAAAAAAAAGAAAATAAAAAATATATTTTTCCTAGATTAATTTAAATACACATTTACCTCATTCTTACAAAATTTGAAAATTAATCAAAAATATTAAATTAATATCGATAAGAAGATCTAAAATATTTTTAGTTCAATGAATAAAGAAAAGTAATAATAATCAGCATACTTATGAGTTATTACTAGCATAAAAAAATAAGTAAGTCACACCAGTCTACATTACACCAGAAAAATATTTATAAAAATATTGATCTGTTGGAAATTTTTATAAAACATCACAAATATTGATCAAATAAAATTAGTTAATTGAAACACCTGATATTTAAACAATAGAATATATACATATTATATAAAACAAATTTTTAAATTTAATAAACAAATAATATAATTTATTTATTGAATAATTAAAGAAGAATTAGTAATATAAATCTTTAGGCTTATAAAAATATTATTTGAGAATTACCTAATAAAAGTCCATTTAAAATTATTATATTTTTTTTTTTTTTTGTACTTATTGGCATTATATAGGTTTAATAATATCATACAAATCCATCTGTTTTTATACAAATAAATCTGTTAACAGGATATACTAGAATTTATTGAACAGTCACCTAATGGTGTAGTTTATTTCACTTTTGGTTCAACTGTTAAAATGGCATCATTACCAGAACACATAAAAAAGGCATTTATTGAATCCCTTGCACAAATCCCTCAAAGAGTGTTATTGAAATACGAAGATGAAATAGAATCAATGCCAAATAATGTAATGACTAAAAAGTGGCTACCTCAACGTGAAATTCTTTGTAATATTTTCTTAATTAACATTGCCGGGATATAAATCGTATTGTAACACTTAAGGCTTAACCCTTATTGACTGTAGTGCACCCGAAAGTGAAACTCTTCATCAGCCACGGAGGTATCTCTGGATTATACGAAGCTATTGATGGCGGTGTCCCTATTCTTGGATTTCCTTTATTTGCTGATCAGTTAAGAAATATCGACAATTTAGTCAATGCAGAAATGGCTATTTCTATGGATATTTTGTCTGTAACAAAGGATGCGCTCTTAAAAAATATTTTAGAATTACTCAACAATGAAAAGTAAAGACATCTTGTTTGTAAATATTTAAGATTTTGAATTAATAAAAACATTTTACTGTGTACTTTTCCAGGTACATGGCAAATGCTAAAAGTGCATCGAAAATATTTAAGGATCGGCCTATGTCACCGACAAATTTAGTTGTGTACTGGACGGAGTATATCCTACGTCATAAAGGAGCTCCTCATTTGAAATCTTACGCTCTTAACCTATCGTGGTATCAATACTATCTCTTGGATCTTATAGCATTTATATTAGTTTTTATTGTTGTTGTGATTTTTGTTACCCAACAAATGTTTAAATCTATTTTTAATTACTTTTCAAGTTATTTTAGAAGCGCTAAATCTAAATCTGAATAATTTATATTATTACTATTATATTACAAGGTATTTCTAAACTATATACCTATGTCCTATTATATGATGCAACTGGTACAAGAGCATTTTATTATTGCTCAAAGTAAAATACAATTAAATTATATTTTTTAGCAAATAAAGCATTTTATTTTGTGTATCTACCTATTCTAAATATTTGAAATAATCTTTCAATGCAATTTATTAATAGTTTATTCGTAGTTTTTATTGATCAGTATTAGTGTGATACGATATTATTACAGGTACCTAAATGGTAGTAAAATAATTGTTTATTATTAAAGAAAAACTTAAATTACCACACATGCGTTTTAAGAAAATAAATTGTCCAGGTTTAATAAAATCTTGACAAAACTCGTGAAATATCTTAAATCAGAACCTTAAATATATACTTATCTAATATCTTATCTTGTGACCATGGCTTTAATCCACTTATATATAAAACAATTTATGACATTTTTAAAATTTTATTTACCTATACTTTAATTATAATTCGTATTCATGAACCATTGAGCAATGAGTAGGTATCCTACTACCTAATACTATTGTTACTGGCGTTGCTGCTCTATCTCATGAACTCAGTCACAATTATCACATACCTCAAAAATTTGGTACTGATAGTACTTATCATGATTAATCGTGGTATTTATCATAGAAAATCATGGTCTCGATGTTGGCTTGTTAACTGTTCTGTATCGTTCACTGTGGTTTGTGGCGCTGTGTGGAATTAAAAAAAACACGTTGAATAGTTACTTAAGTTAATTATTTCGCAAAGTTCTTGTAATATAATGGTAGAACCGGCCGTAGAGTACTTGAATTTTCCAAAGGAAGAAGAAAAAATACTTGCGTTTTGGAAAGAAACTGATGTATTTCATGAATGTCTAAGGCAATCCAAAGGAAAACCCAGGTAATTAATTTAGAGTTTTTGGTTAACATAACTATGACCCTAGTATTCAACAATAGTATTTAAAAAAACTGAAAAACAATATTAAAAAATTTAAGTTAGCATTTAACGTATACCTACCAGTTCATCATTCAAATACAAGCTAACATTATTTATTTGTACTGATTTTTACTAACAGTTAAAACTAAAATATCTAGTGAGAAGAGAACTAACGTAGAAGATTATGTATAAATAGTTAATAAAAGAAATATTTTTACTATAGATTAAAAAAGGGGTAATCAATTATTTGAGATGAAAACATAAATCATTGAAAATAAATTAGTTTTGGGCTCATTATTATGTGTAATCTAATACTGTTGTAAAAAACTTATTAATTAAATTGGCACTGGACATTAATCCAAGTCAAAATAATCATATAATTTGTTTTAATCACCTTCATAATGTTGTAATAGATATATGGAACACAAACACTTATTTATAAATTCATATGTATAATTATGTAAATAATTGAAATTTTTAATTTAAACTTAAATAAAGTATTAGACGATTATTTTTATTCAAGAGAGGTATAAAGTTATACGTATTAAGAATCTTTCTTAAGAACTTAATTTTTAAGATTGCTTATCTAAATAAATTAATAAAAATAATATTAAAATGTAAAATAAAATATATTTACATTTTGATAGGTTTTCTTTTTATGATGGACCACCATTTGCTACTGGACTTCCTCATTATGGTCACATATTAGCTGGTGCAATCAAAGATGTAGTTACTCGGTATGCACATCAAACTGGTCATCATGTTGAACGCCGATTTGGATGGGATACTCATGGTTTGCCAGTGGTAATATTATAATATAATGCTCTTTTAGATAATAATTATAATGATTGATCTTATTTGGGCTTAAAATTATCAAGTTTATTTAATATTTTTTTAATAACATGCTTAAAAATTATGCATAGTTTCTCAATAAAAAATAGACCTCCTAATAAACTTATTTTAAAAATGCTTTTGTACTAAATTAATTGATTCTTTTATTTTGTCGTGTTCTAAAATTATTTTTTAATATGTTTGATTACGATAAAGAAAAAATCGCTATATTATTTACTAATTAATCACTCTAATCTCAGTCATAATGCCAAACTAAGTATAAAGTATAGCCTCTGGGTTACTTATTTTCTCAATTCTCACATAAGTCTTGTCATTGCATATTTAAGCTTATTGTAAATAAACTTTTACAGATTATATATTTAATAACAAAAAATAAAATAATAAAGATTATAATTTTAAAAATTATATTTTAATTAATTTATAATTGTTTATAATTTTTAATAATTAACTCATTAGCAATATTGTCAAATTAAATAAATAATTCAGTAGGTCTATAATTTTAAATTTCTTTCAGGAATTTGAAATTGATAAGCTTTTAGAAATAAAGGGACCAGAAGATGTTGCTAAAATGGGAATTGATAAATATAATGCAGAATGTAGAAAAATTGTTATGCGTTATGCTAGTGATTGGGAGACAATTGTCACTAGATTAGGACGATGGATTGGTATTATAAATTTATTGTATGTACTTACTAATGTATTTTTTTAAATTTCTTAATTTTTATAGATTTTAAAAATGATTATAAAACTTTATATCCATGGTTTATGGAAAGTGTATGGTGGGTATTCAGTGAGCTTTGGAATAAAGGTATGGTATATCGTGGTGTTAAAGTAATGCCATTTTCAACTGCTTGTAGTACACCATTATCCAACTTTGAATCTGGCCAGAATTATAAAGAAGTAGTAGATCCTGCAGGTTAATAATAAAGATAACAAGTACCAATGTATATAAATATATTAATATTTTATATGTATTTTATATTTTAGTCATAGTTAGTTTCACTCTTGAAAATGATCCTTCAGTTTCTCTAGTTGCATGGACAACTACACCTTGGACTTTACCAAGTAATCTAGCATTATGTGTAAATCCTGCATTAATGTATGTGAAAGTAAAAGATTTAAATGACAAAATATTTATTCTTATGGAGGCCCGATTAGAAACTTTATTTAAGAAAAAAGAAAATTATACTATCTTAGACAAATTTCCAGGAGAAAAATTAAAAGGATTGAAATACACACCTCTTTTTCCCTATTTCAAACAAGTAAATTTTAATATACACTATTCATTTTTATTGATTACTTATTAATCATGATATTATTTACAGTATCAAAATACTGCTTTTATTGTATTAACTGATGGGTATGTATCTGCTGAATCTGGTACTGGTATAGTTCATCAAGCTCCATATTTTGGGGAAGATGATTATAGAGTATGCTTAGCTGCTGGAGTAATTACTAGAGATCAGGATATTATTTGTCCTGTTGATGAAAGTGGAAAATTTGTTCTTCCTGTTACTGATTTTGAAGGCCAATATGTCAAAGTAATTATAAAATTTAACATAATCTTTTATTAGTATGAATGTATGATTATTATGATTTGTTTTTATAGGATGCTGATAAAAACATTATAAAATACCTAAAAGAAGCAGGAAGGCTTGTTAATTCTTCTTCAATTAAGCATAGTTATCCATTTTGTTGGCGATCGGAAACTCCACTTATTTATAAAGCTGTACCATCATGGTTTGTGCGAGTGCAACATATGAGTCAAGATCTCTTAGCTTGCAATAGTACTACATATTGGTAATAAATAATTTATTAAATTATAATATTGTGATTTTATAGTTAATTTTTTAAATTTTAGGGTACCAAATTTTGTCAAGGATAAACGCTTTGGAAATTGGTTAAAAGATGCCCGAGATTGGGCAATCAGTCGTAATCGTTACTGGGGTACTCCAATACCACTTTGGGTATCTGAGGATGGGAAAGAAATTGTCTGTATTAGTAGTATTGAACAGTTACATGAGATGACGGGAGTTCTTGTAACTGATCTTCACCGTGAAACGTAATATTTGTATTGTTTTCATCTTTGATTTTTAAATATTACAGCTTTTTTATATGTTTTATAGACATCTTTCATGTAAATATTAATATTTATTTTGCTGGTTTACATTAACACCCGCTTAACGTAATATATTGAATTAAGAGTAAATTAATGGAATCTTAAATATGACTTAGTGTATCATAAATAACCAAATGTTCTTAGCTAATCTAAATAATTAATTATTCCATGGAGTAATAATACTAAACATTATTATTTATTTTAGAGTTGATAAATTGACAATTCCATCGGCTAGACCTGGTTTCCCGCCATTACGCCGAATTACTGAAGTGTTTGATTGTTGGTTTGAATCAGGTTCTATGCCCTATGCACAACAACATTATCCATTTGAAAACAGAAAAGAATTTTCTGAAAGTTTTCCAGCAGATTTTATTGCTGAAGGAATAGATCAAACCAGAGGATGGTGAGACTAGTCAACGATTTTATTTAAAATTCAATATATACAAACAAACTTTTTAATTCAATCATATTTTTAGGTTTTATACATTATTAGTAATATCAACAGCATTATTTAATAAGCCACCGTTTAAAAACCTCATAGCAAATGGTTTGGTACTTGCTTCTGATGGACAGAAAATGTCCAAACGTAAAAAGAATTACCCAGATCCAATGGAGGTATCATGATTGATTATTTATTTTGTATTTTAATTTATGATTGTAGTAAAGACAGGGGGATAGTTAGTTATGCTGTAAAATGATGTATACTTTTTATGGTATACGTTAATTGTTAAAATAAAATAATTTTTATGGTTTAATTTAGTGTAAGAAAATGATGAACATTTTTTTTTTCAAATATTTTTAAATATACCAATGTATTAGGATTAAAATTTTGAAAACAAATTGGAAGTTAATCTAAATTTAACTATTTGATTTATATAAATTTATTCTTAAAAATTAAAGCAAATCCATTTAAAATTAATTTAAATAAAAAAAATACAATTTTAAAATTAATAAAATATGAGTACTAGCACATTATTGTTAATACACATAGAAGTTAAAATTGATTATAAAATTTTATTTGAAATCAATTTTAAAATTATTCACTATTCAATATAATTATTTTTAACTTCAGAGTTTTTATTATTTAATTTG